CAAGATATGTTATGTTGGCGGGTAACAGTATGCTCCACAGTGGCAGAATTTTTCTCGCATTCTGCCTTCATGAGATTAAAGTCATAAGTTAAAATTTTGTTGCCTCAGATCTCTGCCGACTTGAAGTTGACCACTTTCTATAGCAGTAGCGTTCTTACATCTAATGAAATTCTTCATATGGTCTGTCTTCCTTTTTTCATCCGTTTCACCTGTTTCGCCTATGCAAACCGAACTATAGGAGGGCGGGAGTCGGCAAACCCAACCAGCTTTTTCCTCCGTAGGTTTCTGGGTCTTAGGCTGACTTAGTCGACTACTCAGGGTGGCACCAGTTCAACAAGACCTGCATGAAAACATTACGTGTCTTTCTCACTGTACTCCAATCCTGGTCCGTAACGTCAGATGTTCTAAACTAAAAAATATTTTATGCGTTGTCTTCACGTATGCGACTTATCAAGGCATCGTATCTTCTACCGCATAAAAAAATCATGTATCTTATTCAATGTAACAAAGATACATATAGAAGGAATCTGCTTCAAACTCCACTAGTGTTTTTCCGAAGCGGAGAATCTGGCACAAAATCTGGGACGTTAGAAACACTGTCTGACGCGTCTGCCTTCGAGACCCGAAAGAAGCGGTTTTGGAGGATGAAGATGAAAAAATTATAACAAAGATTTATGTACATCTGCACGTATATTAAATGGACTACAAGTATGAAATACTTAATCATTAGTTGCAAATATTGTCAATGATACAGTATGTCTACTCGTAGTCATATGGCACATGCGTTGCTTTTCTGTTTTACCAATTACACTAAATAGCAAAGATTTACTTTGTTTACAGTTTCAGCGTCTTTTCTGCACTGTAGCTGCAAATGTTTTGCCTGAATACAGAGGTATGTGATGTGAGTTCTTCGAGCAGATGAAAAGTAGTTCGTTTCATAACAAAACTAAAGAACACTTAAATGACTTAAGCCAAATGTTTTCTTACTTTCGTACTGCAGCCCATGGAATTAAAGTATTCAATAGCTTCAAGCTCTTCTTGCAAACCTCAAATTTATCATTAAGAGAAAGACAAGTAGATATGTCATAAAAATTAAAGACCGGAAGCTCTCATATCATATCAAATCACCGAATTTTTGTGTCGAAGAAAGATGGCAACAAACGTCGCGCAGCAGTGTAGTCAGTTTATTTGAGAGCGGACACCCATATCATGTAGGCGAAGATTCTTTGAATTTAAATGGCTGAAACTTAACACGGAATATGGCACAAATATTCTAATAAAGATAATGAAGTCCTAAAGATGGCATTACGTACATAAATACCGGGTCCATTTTTGAGATGTAGGAAAGTCTAGGCAAAGATGCGCACAGTGTAGACGTAGCCACTCACTGTCATTCCAGCACATATCAAAGTAGAGAGAATCGCCTCCAACAATCATAATAGTGTTTTTCACGATTACAACTCTGAACCGTTTTCAAAGGCGTAGTGTCTCTCGTTTGTGTCATCCACTGTATCCCGCGGTTTACAACACTAATGCTATAGGCACAAGTAGCAGCACTGCGGAAGGTCCACGCCAAAATGTCTCTACCTCGTTTCTCTATGTCGCATGTTGGCCTCCTCGTCCACGTCAGCCGTACTTCAGCTCTCAGACGAAAAGCTTCCGGGCTGAAATAAATAGTGCATGCTCAACAAATTTCCTGACACTGACAACCTCATTTTCTTAATCTTTACAACTACTTAAGTCATTTTTATCCGGCAAAGAACAGTCATCCCTAATTGCTCCTACCATTTAACCCTCATCATGCGCAGAAGTCAACGTTGCTGTATGAAGTACAACCATAATTCTTGCTGAACCGCTATAGCAACTGTCACCAGATCATATAAAAACACTGACCTGACAGAAAGTTACGGGCAGATTATCGCGGGAAGGTAACTCCATTCTCAGCCAAAATATTGAACAGGTTTCCTAAATCATTCGAGGCTAGGGTGATCTTCCAATTTAGCTGGGTATACAGTACAGCTACTGGAGAAGAGACTTAAATTGGTCAACTTCCTGAAGTGCCTCATCTCCTCGTTTACTTATAGGTCCACTATGCCAGATGGATTTGTCATAAATTTTGACTTCGGTGCGATTAGAAAGAGGTCGGATTTCGAAGTTGTTACATACGGAGGCCATCAGGTGACAAAGCCAGCTTCCGTAATACTCATCAGCACAATATTATCCGCGTACTTCAGGTCATCAAGACATCTAACCGGATAGCTTTAACCGCGCATCCTTCTAGAATGGCTTGTCTTTGCCAGGTTCAGCCTTTTTCTGAGCAGCAACTTGCGAATGCTGGATAGCAAATGTGAATGCCCGTCTCACTGACAAGCTCCACAACTGATAAGGAACTACTAAGAGAACTCCCACTGAAATCTGACAGAAGGCATCGCCTCTTTCAAAATGGAAACGATGTGACAAAGTATTATACAGCCTCTCGAGTTTCCGCTTCGCCAGACGTTGTAGTGAATTAAACGCAACATTTAAGTCGAGTAAATTGGCAAATCCAGGTAACTGGAATCATTGACATTAATCCTAAACAGTGAAATTAAGCATTAGAACCTAACCCAGAAATGCTTAAATTGGGCGTCTTCTGTTGTCTTCTGTCAACCCTCTGCCTCAGCACTTTCAGGATAATCAAGGAGAAAAATTGTTTTCATAGTCTGAAACAACGATAATTAAAACACTCCATCACCTGACCCCTTTTAAATAAAATCAATTAAGTCACACTTCCATTCTTAAGAGAAACGTTCGTAGGTTCAGATTTGATGAAACAGGGCATGGTGCATTCTTATCATGTCCCTTTCTCCACACTTAATGAACTCCGTAGAAATTCGACCGACCTGGAGGCCTTCTTTACCTTGGATCTAAGCAAATTTTTTTAGTTTCATAGGTGGATCTGTACTAACATCTAGTGTTGGCTGATAACTAACGGCCCGAAATGACGAATTTGGAGAGCAAATGTTGAGCAGCTGGATTCAGTGCTCAGACCGAGTTTGGAGACGTTCCTTTTACCCGTAATGTTAATCATTCGTCTTTCCTCTCCATTCCAAGAATTTAAGAAAACCCCTACTTCAGTGAGCCGTATTCACACATAGTAATAAGTAATATCACTTCCCCTGTTTGAAAGAAGAAAACCCAGCTGCCCTAAAATTTGAAACTGCTCGATGATCATTGCCTTAGGGGCGTAGCTGAATCATTGTTTACGTTAAAAACGGTTACCAGCAACAAAACAGGAACTATTTTAAATAAATTTCACCCATATTTTAAGGTAAAATTCTAACAGGCACTGCCCAGTAAATTGATACGTTGTTACGATTGTTATCACCGTCTAAAAGGATAATAGCTTGAACAGAATAATTAAAGTCCGACTTGTGTCTCAGATGCAAATGGGCTTTTTTGATTGATGCGGCCATGGATGATAGACTGTGCTACAAACAGCTCTACCTATTGGAAGCGTTCTGTTAATAACTATGGGGCAGCCTAAATATATAAACTTATACCAGTAACAGATAAACTACAGTCGGACGTTAGTCCATGAAATAGCCAACACTCACCGACGTACGCCAATTACATGAGAACCGTCGACATATGGAGATTCGACTAAAGTGTGCCATAACTTCATCGTTATTTAGTCACTCTAATTTCTGTCCGCCTGTTAAAAAATGAATGAAGATCAAAGGAATATGGTGAGCTGCTACGACCGACTTCAACGACAGCGGAAAAATAAGTTGTTGACAGAAACTTTTCGTTCAAAATGAAAGCGGACATGGAATGAACTTCAAAGCAACAAAGCAATTTTAACATTATTTTGTTCCCAGCAAACCTGACACAGTTGCTAGACTTATGGAACGAAAGTACAGAGTAAAAAGCAAAAAAGGGGGCTTATTTGGTAGCAGAAGCAGAAAAATCGAATAGAGCATACTGCGCGCAACCGACCTAATCAACTTCAGAACGTGCATATTGAAATAGCAATTTTTTACACTTAGAATAAATTAACATAAATTTGCAACAACGTTAACAAGAAGAAACGGAAACTTTTGGAAAAGAAAATCAACTGCCTATAACATGGCACGAAACAAAAATCGCCTTGCAAACAAACGAGTTCATGCATGAACTGCAAATTACTGAAACAGATTCACGGAAACGGTGGTATCTTCAACGCACGGCTGAAAGCGTACAACCTAATTGAACTTCGATGGACTGCCTCGTGTATACCCTCGACCAGCACCTCGTCCGACGCGAGCACGGTTTGGTCCACCGGACATCGGTGAGCGTCGACGGGCGGAGAGCAATCCGGATGCACCAGACACGTCGGGTAAAATATCTTCCGTGATACCCTGAAGATGGCAAGACAGTGAAAGCAACACGATGCAAACCATATTCGAAGCGACTTTACCTTAAGTTTTAAAGCCTCCTGAATCTGTCGTGTCAAACTGCTCAACTGTTCCGCGTTTAGACTATCTGACTGCATAGTGATACCACCGATTTCAACTTGATTAATCGTCTTCGTAGGGGCTAAATGTTAACAGAGATAAGTAAGCCTTCAAGCAAGTCTATAAAAAAGTGTCACACTTATGGCATGCAGCAAATCCTAGAGCAACGATAGCACCTTCCTGTGGTCAGAATGCGTAAGAAAAGCCAACATAAGAATTCGATTCAATAGGTCAGCTTAGGTAGCATTAAACATGCCGATATATAGAGGCAAAATACAAAGCTCCTGTTGTTTGGCATATCATCGTCATATAACGAGCGCGACAGGCCCTGCAGGTACGCTCGAAATAGATTAATGATGTCTGATATACATCGACACGTTAGAGGAAATTTGTGAATCGTGGGTGTAAAGTAGGAAATTGGCCTTGACTGCAGCTTAGCTGGCAAAAAAAGCTTTCAGTACTACTCACCCCAACAAGAGCTTCCAAATACCTCACAGCAGCAAGATATCAAGCCCAATGTCCTTGACTTCTTACACATAGTAAATAACCTTCGAATCGGTTACTATCAGTGCCGTTATGGATAAGAAAGGCCAAATCATTGTTGCGTAGTGAAGGAAATAGTACATCTCCCGGGCGATAGTCGCAAAACTAATAGAAAAACACTCAGTGATTGCGTAATCCTCAGTCGTGCGTGATTTGCATTAGAACGGTTCCGCTAGGTGAGTGTGTACCACTGTGTGCTCAATCCCTTTGGTGCAGGACAGCTGAGAGTGTAGTTGACCGATTACGCAAAGCTGCTGGCATGATACAGCAATGATCACACATAAAGAACCCATCTGAACATGACACAGATAGTAAATCTTCATGCAACTGAATTAATCAACTATTAATTACTTACAGGCGTCCTACGCCCACTGTGGTCCTCATTAGTAGACCACGGAGTTGAACGGCGGGGATGTAACTGGTTTCTGCACAGATAACTCCATTTTGCTCCTTCCGTGCTTAGCGTTACCCACAAGGTGCCAGTAAGGGGTGCACAGCTGAACTGTATGACAGAAATTGCATCACATATGGCAATTCTCATGAATTCCGTTGAGACTGATCTACGAGAAGGACAGTGCTGCGAAGGCAGATAATTACGTACAAAGCCCGCTTTCGCTTTAATGACAAACACTGATTCACTATTAGTGAAAACCACAGTAGGCGTAGAACGCCTCTCAGTAATTAATAGTACACATAAATATATACTCACAGAGTATGATGTCTTGGAATAGTAGTGTCAGAGTTTACCAAATTCGCGCCCATGCCGTACTGTGCAGTTCTTTGCAGGTTACAACCCGTTTATCACAGACGGATTTTCTTTCCCCAGTTCATTCCCCACTAATTAGAACTAGGACGTTGCTGACTGATCAGATGAACTTTTTAATTTTTAACTGCTTTCGAAACTTCCGGCTGCACTCCTTACTGATGAAAACTAAAGCTATTAGGCGGATTCAAAGCGAGCAGCCGGCAAAAGATTGCACTATACGGCATGAGTGCAAGTTTGGTAAACTCTGACAATACCAATTCAAGGCGTCATACTCTATGAGT